CCAGGAGAAAATGTGTCCTTCAAACATAAAAGCCGACTGGTCCTGAGCCACTGTGACGCAGGCTGGGTCTGATTGTAACTGCACGTTCTGACAGATCAGAAGAAGAAATGCTGACGTAAACACATGTATTACAGGAGTGCAAACACCAAAGTGATTCAATAACAACTGCTCTACTTTAGAGTGTGTTTTTGCCATATTTTTACAAGTAATTAAAACTTACTGTCTTGAGTCTAGATGATACATTTAATAGACTTCATCTGTATAAAAGGGCTGGCTATACTGGAAATGTCCCAAAGATAAAGACCCTAAAACACGAATAGTAGAAATAAATATATAAAGATGACTACGCTCTTGCTCAAGCTTCCCGTTGTGAGTCATGATGGGTGAGTGCATGAATATTAAGTGACAGTGTGACATAGATCTGTCAGGCTTCTCCAATCCTATTTTCTATCAGACGATAATGCAGGAGATAGGTGTAGGAGACTAGTTTCATGCTCAGCATATGCAGCTCTCTATTTAACGTATGAATGTGTTTTCTATCAATAAAGAAAGAATAAAACAAAATAACTTTACAGAGCACGTTGGTCCAGCATTTTGTTAAAAAGTATTTTAACTTGCAGATATGAGTCAGATGTCTTCACTTGTGCATCGATTATGGGAAAACACCCTCCAACATGTTTCAGAACCCTGGACAGCTCCATTGAGGGTTTAAGCTGTTTTTTCTTCTAACAGAACAATTTCTCATAAGTTTCTTGGGTAAAAATGTCTTCCTGTTTCATTGGTTGCTTCAGCAAGTACTTCAAGGAGCACCACAAATAGGTGAGGAACTAAAAAGCTGTATGCTAGATGTAGGAGATTTCTTTAAGAGTCGTTATCACCTTGTAAGAATATTTCAAAAGGTGCTAAAATTCTGAAAAAGGTGAATTCATGATCACAAAGAAGCATGCAAGTTTGTGGTTGTTTAAATGTAAAATGCTGAGTTTGTTACTCATGCTCCTCTCAATGGGCAAAACAAAACACATACAAACAAAACTGAGACCCGTTTTTAAAAAAGAGAAAAGAATAAAACAAAACCAAAGAACCCAAAATAAACTACTTGAGCTATGATGGATTTCTGTTCCTGAGCTCTTAGATTTTTCCAATTAGCAGAGACTGAAGTGTGGAGCACTGAGAGAAACATGTAAGCATATCAGTCTCGTCACATGCTCCAGCTGCTGTCTGAGTTGTTGTGAGCTGTTTATGGGTCCAGGGCGGATTTTTTTTTTGGGGGGGGGGGGGGGACGACACAGACCTCTGTATCAAACAATTCCACAGCTAGCAGGAGGTGTGACATAAACAACAAGGTTCTTACCCTTCCCCAGTGAGCCCCACTGACAGGTGACCCACCTCTGGCACTCTCTCTCTCTCTCACTCACACACACACACACACACACACACACACACACGGTCTGCAATAGTGCAGTTATATATGCACACAGTCATACATGTCAAATCATAGTCCCAGCAGTCTCAGCTCTCCCTTCCCTCAAACTGCTTATCTCCAGGCGCGGGGGTGGGGGGGGGGTAAATGAAAAATGAATGGCTGCCATATGGAAGTGATACGTTGTGTGAGAAGAGGAAAAACTATTGGTGTGGAAAATCAATTTAGCCTAGTCGCAAACATATAGCTTTCCATTGGGTAAGTAGTCAAGATTAGCCCCTCTTCTCATGCACGGCTGTGTGTGGAGGAAGAGGAGAGAGATGAAGGACTCCAAATAAGGGATGAAAAAAGACAAGTTTCAAATGGAAAGTGTTAAAAAAGCAAAGATCACCAGAGGAGGAGAAATAAAATAATTAATGACTTATATAAAGTCGCAGGTGCGTGCACATGTTGCACCGGGCCTGCAGCTGTTGTTATAAGTCACACTCAAACCACAGCTGATCGAGAGGACACCTCAGAAATGATCTGCATTCCATATGGTCAAGACTAATCTGCCACTTCCCATTTCTCTATATCACCTTCCAAGCAGGCATGACATTTGCATAAATCCCCCAAAACATCACCTAAAGCTTCAACACAAGCACACAAACTGCAGTAAGTCTGGTGGCCTTCATTACTGGGTATCTCCAGGCCCTCACTGCAGTAGAGCATTAGTATGAGCTCTGTGCTGTGGCTGTACTCTCCAGGGTGCAATTATCTATTAGGAGAGGGGCCTGGTGAGGGACACCTTCTCATGCTGCTCTCAGAGGGCGTCCAGAGATGTAGTGACGGCCATGTCTAGAACAAAGCTGGCTCATGTGCATGGTCATCTCTGTCCATGGTGCTGACTTTAGGATGGAGGAGGCACCGCTATCCGTGGGTAGAGAAAACCGCTGAAGAAGGCGCGGTCTGCGGTGTTTTATCACCCACCTCTAGGATGGACAGGCAGCACCTGTCCATCCTAGACAAAATTTGTCTGGCTTTGATACAAAAGTCTGAAATAAGTATTTAAAGGTTGTATTTGGCAGCTGATTGCACACAATGGCAATGTTTGTGAATGTTTGTAGACGGATGTTTGCAGGACCAGCGCCTTTGTTGGCTGAAACACAACATTCCTAAAACTTACAGGACTTTGACGGACTTCATGAAAGCCAATCACTTTTCGCTGTGCCCTCAGGAAACAAAACCATCTGTTTTTAGTCATTAGTGAAGCCTTTTTTGAAGTTGCACTTGGAAGCTCGAGCTTAAGACGAAACCCTGAAATTTTCTTTAATCGTTATTTTCAAAGGTCTTGATTCTCCTTGAAGTTTCTGGCCAACTTCTATTTAAAGTAGAAACTGTTTATGAATGAAGAAAGTGGTCAGGAAAAATAAGAAAAACATCTCAAGTATCTCAAGTTGAATTCTTAAACAGGAATGTGTTTTAGGTAGATAAGCTGCCTGGACAGGTAGTGGTTGTTGGTTTGATTCCCATTAGGAGACCGGACCAAGCTTTAGGGGGCCACGTCTTTCTGTGTGAAGGTGGGTCATTAGTGATGAAATGTTTCATGTATTGTTTCTGGGTCTGATTTTATTAAACAATGAAAAATTGCTCCTTGCAAACAACAGAGTGAAAGACAAGATATTAATTAAAATTAAAATCTCAAAGTCATCATCACACACTGGAGAAATGACATCTCCACATTAGACCCATCCACCCATGGGGAGCAGTGAGCTGCAGCTGTGGCTGCGCTCGGGAACCATTTGGTGGTTTAACTCCCCAATCCAACCCCTAAAGCTGAGTGCCAAACAGGGAGGCGTTGGGTCCCATTGTTAAAGTCTTTGGTCCGACCCAACCGGGATTTGCGCCCCCATCTCCCAGTCCCAGGGCGGACACTACCACCAGCCACTGAGAAGGTGGCCTTCAATAAAATAAAACTATGGATTCATTTTTTATCTCAAACTTTGAATCTTGTAAGAAAATAAATGAACTTATTCATTTTGTTTCTACAAATCAAAACAAGTAAGAAAATAACATATTTAACCACAATTTCTATTTGCTCTTGATCAATTTCCCTTTGGGATTAATAAAGTATTTTTGAATTGAATTTAATTGAATTGAATTGAATGGTTTTAAGTTAATTTTCAAGGACTAACTAAAATTTATGGTCATGATTTTTATAACTGAATTTAAACATTTTGATATTTCTGCTTGCTTCTCTAAATTCAATTCCACTTTCTACAAGCTCTGCCATCTTTGCTGTACCTCCCTTATACCTCCATGTGATGCTACTCATCTGACCTGTTGACAGTTATTAGAGTAAGAATCTGCTTCGTTTGTCACTGTTCTGTAGAAAATGTGTCTCGCCTCTGCAGTTGGTTCTATTAAGCATGACAGTCATGAGATTATGGTTAAAATTGTTTACTAGAAAATGCATGAATGCAATTTCTACTAAAATAGAAACACTTGATTGGATAGAAACAGATAAAAATCATCAAATGGTTTAAAAAAAACAACACATTGTAGATGTTGTAATGATATTGTAGATGATATTTTATTAGATTATATTATATTATATTAGATTAGATTAGATTAGATTAGATTAGATTACTATAATGACCACACAGCGAGCCGGGGGAATTTTTAGTAGATAAATTGTTCTGTATAAATAGGATTCACGTAAAATGTTTTTTTAACCAAATTTTGGCAAGGGATGGGTAAAATGGTTAAAGCTGCATTTTAATCTCCACAATATATTTATAGCTGTGCAACATTAAAGTGTTGTTAAGAGTCATGATAACACATTTTAAAGGTGTGGGAAAGTTGAAAGTCAATATATTAGCAGTGGTCTGGTAGGACTGAAGGCCTTGCAAGCCATACTCAGGGCAAAGAATGCCCAGAACAGAGTGGCAGCAGACGGCAGGTTTTAGAGTCTTGTTTCCTGATATTTGGACATCTGAACTCAGACAGAATAACAGCTACGAGACTCTACCACTGACTTGCAATGATAATGTTTTATCTCCACAAATAACACAAGCCTGGAAGAGGTTTTCTGTATGGTGGTGTTGCTATTGCTAACGGTTAGCTTCTACTAGCTGAGACGTTCTCTGCTGTTTCCTGGACACTAAACCAACAACAGCGTTCCCCGCTGTGAGTCCAGATGGGTGAGTCCATGAATGCTAGTGACAGTGTGACGTAGATCTGTCAGGCTTTTCTAATCCTAGAGTTTCACCGTCTCTTTTCTATCAGAAGCTACTGCAGTAGGTAGGTGTAGGAGACTATCTTCATGTTTAGTGTGCATGATAAACTCAGAGTGGCCCAATATAATCAGAAAGAATCATTAAAAAATATTTTCAGTGTTTCACACATTAAAGCTAAATTGTTTTCCAAACTTGCCACTGCAACTTTAATTAGCCAATGGCTACTTGATGGGGATTAGGTCAGCAACACCTGAGTAAATCTGGCGTTTCAGTACTGGATATTAGGGGACTAAAGGATTTAGAATCCAAATGTTAAACTCTTTGGTTTGTTTGCTTTTGTTATTTACGGATATGTCTCTTACCTTTCCAATGAGTCTGGGAAAAGGACCCCTCAGGTTCTCAGTGACAGGCATCCCGGGGACCAGAAGGGATCTCTTGGATCTATCGGGTAGCTTTTGGCGAAGACCGGGAACATCCTACGACAACACAGAGAGAAGGCGTTTAGCTAATCGTCGGCGTAGCCCAAAGGTAAACGATCCCACAGTAGATGATGAACTAATCACCCTAAAATCAAGTCTCACTGGGTTAAATCTCCTTGTTAAATGACTCAACTGAAAACCTGAGCAGAAGATATTGTTCAAGGCATTCGGTACTGATGGAGAGTAATCCAGACTCTGTAGAGGACAGCATCTGAACGTCTTCTGGCAGTCGTAGGGCTTCCACGTTTGGAGAGGAGACGTGATCTTACAGCAAACATGTAATAAGCTTCTCTGCAGCTCTCCCTGAAATGTAATTTATATTCTACGTTTCTGTATTCAGCCTGTGTTAAATGAGAACAGGAGCGATGTAGAGAAATCAAAGCAAAAACTGAAAACTGGGTTAAAATACAGAAATGAAAGATGACACGGTTTTGCTAAAGCAATTGCTTTGTTCAAGCAGATGGAATTACTCTGAAATGTTGTTTTGATCTTGGAAAACACAAAACCATAATCTGATTTTGTTTTCCAGCCTCCTGCTGTTGTGAACAAGGAAGTGGTTTGTACCATTTAAAATAATAAAAGTGTTCCCCTTCTGCTGATCCTCTCGTAGCTCTTTCACTTTGGGTATTGATAAAAGCATCGCGCGCCATCGACACCGAGCAGATAAGCTCGTTTGGCTTTTCACAGATTCAGAAACAGTCTAAAGGATTTTTTAATCATGTAATTTTGTCACATGTTGAGCAAAGTCCAGTCCTAGACTCCTGGTCATGTTGCTCTTTCTTTTGCCCAGTAGTTTGGCTAAAATGACCCCAAAGTGTTGCTTGTGTGGGCTGCTGCAGTCACAAAGAACCAAAGTGACCGGTGCAAGCGATGTCCATGTGGCTTGTACGTGAAAAGGTTTCCCAGCTGGAAATGTTCGTTTTTATAAATGGTAAATGGTTTGTATTTGTGCAGCGCCTTCTTAAGGTTCTACAACCCCCCAAGACGCTTCACAACACAGTCAGTTATTCACCCATTCACACGCTGGTGGGGATGAGCTATGATGTAGGCACAGCTGCCCTGGTGCGCTCTGGCAGAGGCGAGGCCTGACGCCACCGGTCCCTCCGGCCACCTCCAGCAGGCAAGCAGCATTATCTGGTCGGAGCCGTGATTGAACCAGCAACCTTCTGATTACTGGACAACCAGATCTACCTCATCAGCTACTACTGCCCCTTTTAGTCTAAAAGCTGAACTGAACTGTTTTCATTTTATAACTTTGTGTTTGATTAAATTCACATTTTTAGTGCAACTTTTCCATATTTTTATTCAAATCTTAATAAATATAAAAATATTCACCTTTTTCATTTTATTCTGACATCAAACAAGTTAAAATACAATTCCTTGCTTCAGTTTTCCGACCAGTTAGCTGTGGTTAGCCTGTAGCTAATGGATCCACCCATCTCTGTTTAGTGGCTGAGAGGTGGGGGTAAGTTCATCACACTGGATTCACTCATTCACCAAATGGGACGAATAAGAACCACCAGTTATTTAGTTTTTGTTACTTTGGTGGGGATCCAGAGCAGCAGAAGACTACCAGCAGCGGTACAAGGACAACCTATAAGCTCCCTCACAGCAATGACACGTCAGAGGTTTGCATGGACCAACAGCAGCAAACCTTTTAAACGAGGCTCTTTTTACTTCAGACATGAAGGTGTTTCTAAGGACCTTTTTACAGAATTAGAAACACCTTCACGTCCGAAGCAAAAAGAACCTTTTTAGTAATTAAAAAGAGGACATAATGAACATTGTAAAGAATTTACGAGAAAGTTTTGGACGCAGCAAACCTCGTAGCTCATAGATCTACCAACTATTTCAACACAACCTGGAACCAGATCATTACTTCCTCTCAAACACCCAATCCAAGCGTTCTTCTTCTGGATTTTCTGATAAATATTTCCTTTGTGCGTTATTTACCAGGCAGGCCTTGAGCCCCACCAGCCACCTGGACCTGGTTTCTATTCTATGTTGATGTCTCTCCCTTGAGGTGGAGAACCCACCTGGGAGAAGATTCTTCCAGCATTTTTATTCCGAGCCAGGTCGAGCTCCGTAGCTAGACACAAGGTGGAACATTCCCTCAGGGCTGGGACTGAGCCTTTGCCTTAAGTGGAAGAGTTCAGGTATTTAGGTATCTACTTTAAGAGTCAAAGCAGGATGGAGTGAGACGTCCTGATGGATCAGGGCTTCCTCTGATCAGGCAGCTGCTATCAGGAGGAGCTGAATCAAATCATTAAGCCAGTGTGTCAAATGATGCCTTTTATCTTTGGTTTTTACTCTGCAACACTTCACTTACAACCTGCAAGACAGTTAGGTGTTTATTAGTAAGGAAGGAGACTTTTGTCACTTACAAAGTCCAGAAAACCCAAATGAAAAAGCTAATTAAAGCACAGCCCAACCAGAACAAACCACTGGCGCTGGGCAGCGACTGAAATGACCATTTTTGATCAAATCCACTCGGGGACGACCTCCGAAATGCCAAAGGCAGCGATCTAAAAGCGGACCTGAAGCTGTAAGCCAGAACGCTCTGAACAACTATGAGATTAAATGACCGTTTTGTGTTTGGAGAGGACAGCTGGTGGTGTGTGTAAACTTATATGACCACATATGATTCACCAGCAACTCTATGGACTTTTAAGCATCGGCTATAAAAAAGATTTTTGCCCAGAGATGAAATCAATCCTATCATGCAGAGGTCTCAGCTGTCAGATGTTTGAAAAGGGTGGTAAGAAGAGCTGGAAGGCAAACAGGCACCATGCGGTGATTTCAGAAGCCAGCGTGAGGAACTGAGGTTAAGATAAATCACACCGTCAAATCCAAATCTCCTCTGAAGAGAGATACAGTAGATATGAAGGAGGAGGGATGGGGCTTTGAAGCCAGTGTTCTCCAGAAGGATCAGAGTGTGGGGGGGTGCATGGACTAAAACGCGTGCCGCCAAAGAGAACCGCACACTTGTGCTCAATGAGGATGGCTCACCAGAGGGCATGGTGAAGAGAATGACTTACTGCCTTGTTCCTCCCACCTTCATACCTGCTACTTCGCAGCTCTCTCTCTCTTTTCCCGCTGAAATCGTTTCTCTCTCCTCACACTCTGCATGTGTGATGAATGGTGTTCTTACTGTACAGTGGCACTGTAAGAGAATGGGACCATGAGTCTTTAATGTGTACTTCTCATAAATTACTGCTGCACCATCAACCCTGATCCAGCCTCAAAACACGTTCTTTTCTCAGTCTTTGTCTTCTGGACGATCAGCCCACCGTCTCACATTTGAAATATGAAGAAAAAAGAAAGATTAAAAAATATTTGCAGCTGGAAGTGAAACGTTAACTCTTGTATGTAATTATACTAACTATACACATCTAGTGCATGTGTGTGTGTGTGCACACGCGTGCATGCATGTGTGTGCGCATGCGTGCATGCATGTGTGCATGTGTGTGTGTGCTCGTGCATGCATGCATGCATGTGTGTGTGTGTGCGTGTGTGTGTGTGCGTGTGTGTGTGTGCGTGCGTGTGCATGCATGTGTGCATGTGCTCGTGCATGCATGCACGCACGCACGCACGCACGCATGCGTGCGTGCGTGCGTGTGTGTGCGTGTGTGTGTGTGTGTGTGTGTGTGTGTGTGTGTGTGTGAGAGAAAGAAGGAACCTTTGTCACTGTCATCTGAGCTAACAGTTCCTGTGGCAGCAAAGTCGTGTCCTTGTCCATTCTGCCATTTTTACCCACAACGCTATAGAGAGAAATGCCATTACTCATGTCTGACATTCTGCTAGAGACCCAGAGACAAACGGGTAATTTCAAGGCCAGTGCTGCTGACAGTAATGTACAACTATTTAACACAGAATAAACTCATGCATCATGCAACCAGGTCAAGCGGGGCGATCCTAATGTTCAGTTAAACACAACAGCCTGCAAGCAGCTGACATAAATGTACAGCATTCCTGAACGCAACAGATAACATTATCATGTCCGTAAATGTGTGTAGAAATAAAACACACTTCATTAATAAAACAACCCAAGGCTGCATGTGCAACACTAGACCCCTCGTCATACGTTCCATCCATCTGGATGAGAATATTAGATGTTTTTGATAACAGGAGTATTTTTTTTTCATCTTCCTGAAAACATTTGAAGTAAATTCTTCGTTTTCTACTGCGGACCCTGAAAAGCCCTCATGTGTTGATCCCTGCTGTTTTTTGATTTGTGTCACAGTCAAACGTCCTCTTTCATCTGCAGATGGTGCCAAAATCTTGGAAAGAGGCTTTTAACTACATCTGAAAGACCTGAGCATCACTTTCATAATCCAATTTTAGATTGGCTATTTTAGCTGCCAACTAATTTTAGGGATTATTCAACGTTATTTTGTGTGACCTACTTAAATTCTTGACCTCAGTGATGATGACGGGTCACATTAAAAATGTAGTTCATGACAGTGGACCGACTTTCATCGATGCGAGTAAACAGATAATGAAAATAATTTTTCTGTCAAACTTTTTACTTTTTTCATCAAATTGTTTTGAGTCTTAAACATTTAGAAAGTGTGTGTTTAATTTTATGATGGTTCAAGCATCTAAAAATATTCTTTAGTTAAATACAAACAAATGTTAAAATAGCCTGGCAAGCCAGACTAGAGCAAGAATTTGGTCTAGTTCACTAGGCTAACGTTAAAATGCTTGAGGGCAAAATGTGTGCTGGTTTTTGAAAAATAACCATATTTAGTTGTGTTTTGGCATTCATCAGCATGCATTATGTCAGAAAAATGGTTTAACCAAAGCTATTATGTGCAGCTAACCAATGAATGTATGCAGGTTAAAGAGAAAATAACAGAAAATAGAATTAGCAAGTCACAAAATAATTTGTATTGTTTGCAAACTGGAGAAGGAGAGAAGACGATTATGTTTGCGTCGCTGTGGCTGCTAGATGTGACTTCTTACTCATCCCCAAAGCCTTGCTGAGCAGCGCTGGG